CCCCCCCCCCCCGGAGCCGTCGCCGCCATCGGCACTTTGCGTCGGGCCGGCAGGAGCCGCGCGGTCCTTAACTTCCGAATGTCCCGCCGCCGATAGCACGGTGATGGGAGCTGGATTGGCCCCCGCTCGCGCCCCCTCCGGCCGCACCTGTAATCGGGCGGCTTTCCACGGTGATCGACGGAATTCATGAGCACGCCAGCGAAAGCCCAGCCCGTGTGCCCGTGCCCCTCCATGCTCGGGCCCATGCCCCAGGATGTGTATGTTCATGTACCGGTGCATTTGCGGCGGTGAGGCCGGGCAGGGGAGGGGGGGGGGACCTGCCAAAGTTGAAGGGTGCTCCGGCCGGGGCTCGAGACACCGGGGCGCGCAAGGCCCAGCCGGTCGAGCGGCCCCGAACAGGGCCGAGAGGCGTGCAGGGGGAGGGGCGCGGGGGCCTTTAGTTGGCGGGCCGGCCTGGGGAGGACCGCCCGGCCGCACACCCGGCCATACCAAACAAATCAACGGGGAGTATCATCGCCCTAACAGCGGGGTGATACCCGGTCGAGCGAGGCCTGGGGGCAGGCCCGGCATCCTATCGTAGATAGGGGATTGTCGCCGGTGCGCGGGCACTCCTCCCACAGCAAAAGACCGCCCTCACGGCCGCGGCCCACCCGAGACACCATGGGCCGGTGGGTCCAGGCGGCCGTTGCCCGGGAGCACCCCGACACGCGGCGGCCCGGGGCCGAGCTCCACCGGCATCGGGCCTCCTTAACACGGTGCCCGCCCTAGGCCCCGTCCCGCCCTGCCGCGGCGCAGGCAGAGCCCTACATCGGCGCGGGCACGATCGGCGCAAGTGGCCCCAGGCCCGGTCCACATGCCCACGAGCACGCCCACGATCGGGCTTGCCGGCCGGGGACCAAACGGCCCTGGAGGCACCGGCGGCGGGGCCAGCCCCGGCGCCAGGCTGGGCACGGCGCTCGGCCGCCGGTGCCTGCGTGCATGCGTGCACGCGCGTCGGCACCGGCCAACCGGGATCGCGGGCTTTTTATGCGGCCCCAGCCAGCCATGCGGTCGCCTCGAGCCGATGCCCATAAACCTCTCCTCCCCTCTCGCGCATTCCCCCCTGTCGCCCGGTATCCCGTCCCCTTGTCGCGCATGCATCCCGAGCTGCCCACTCGCGCGGTCGCCCCCCTTGCTGCGTAGCCTCGTGCCTGTCTTGCGCCCTCCCGCCCGCAAAGCCCGCGATCCCGCCGGCCGGCACCCGCGCACGCACGCACACCCACACACACCCACACACGCACGCGCTCGTACACACACACGCGCACGCACGGAGCCACACAGGCACCATCATACCCCTCCGCCCGGCCCGCCCTCCCCCTCTTCCCCTGGCTTTGCCCGCCCGCTCAGGCGTCGCAGCACGCAGGCATGTCGCCTCGGACACGCTCCGACGATCACCTCGGCCAGCCGCTGCTGGGTGATCACCACGATCGGTCGGACTACGCCAGCGGCGACCAGTCGCAGCCGCTGAGCCCGGCACCCGGCCACCTGCCAGGCCCCTCGGCGGTCATGGTCCGAGTCGACACGCTGGGTCTGCCGGCCGACGACTCGGCCGACAGCACGGACGATCTGCCCATCTCCGGCCGCAGCTCCATGGGCTCCCTGGCCTCGGTGGACATGGAAGCCGGCGGTGCGGCCCCGATGGGCGGCGACCCTGCCGGGTCCGATGCCAATTCCCTGCTCGACGCGGAGAAGGCCCTGGCCCGTGGGGCCCTGGCCGGCGGCGGCGGCGGAGCCGACACCGGCGATGGTGATGACGATTCGCTGGGCCTCCTGCCGGGGGCCGGGGCTCATGGAGGCCCCGGCGCCGGGCCCGGCAGCCGGTGCTCCACTCGCTCGAAGGTGGCCATCGCCGCGGCGACCCTGGTCTTGGTGCTGGCCCTCGCGGCCGGGGCGGCCCTCATCGGCGCCAGCAACAGCTTCCAGCCCTCGGGCAAGGCCGGCCAGCGGCCGGCCACCGGCCACACCAGGCCGCCGCCCCGGCGGCCGGGCTACTCCGGCACCGGGCCCCCGCGGCGGCCGGCGGCCAACTGCCCCCGAATGCGGCCGTCCTTCATCGTGGTCGGGGCCCAGAAGGCCGGCACCACCAGCCTCTATGCCTACCTGCGCACGCATCCGCAAATCATCGGCCTGCCGAACCCCCACGGAGCCGCCGGCCCCGGCGGCGACCACCTGCCGGCCATCACCCCGGAGGATGGCCAGGTGGAAACCATCACCATGCATCAGCAGGAGCCCGGCGGCCGGCCGCACATCCGCCCGGCCGTCGAGCCGCACTTCAGCCTGGATCTGGACGCCAGCCCGGACCCGGGCCAGGGCGGCCTGCCTGCGTCGCCGCTCGAGGCCGGCACCGTGGACGACGAGGACGACGGCCCGGACGGCATGGGCGAGCTGGTGGACCCGGTCCCGGACCCGGAGCCGGAGCCGCATTTCTATGTCTTGCGCCTGCCCTTCGGCCTGACGGCCGTCATCCCGAAGCCCTCGCGCCCGACCTTCCCCTTCTTCGGGGGTGGCCCCGGGTCGCGGCGCGCCCCCGGCAGCGGCAGCCCGGCTCTGGCCGAAGCAGCCGGCCCCGGCACCGATGAGCCCCATGCCGGCGACCGCCCGGCCGCCGGCCGCCTGCCCACCTGGCAAACCTCCGACCCCATGTACCAGGCCGCCACCGAGGCCGAGGCCACCGGCGAGTCGGCCCTCACCCCGGGCAGCGCCCTGCGCACCAAGGAGCTGCGCTTCTTCGACTCGGCCCGGCACTGGCCGCGCCTCGGCGGCCTGGGGCACCGGCTGCACCAGGGCCTCCGGCCGCCCTCCGGCGAGTCGGCCATCAACCCGGCCACCGGGCAGTTCATCACCGAGGAGGTGGGCCGCGCCATCATGTGGGACGGCTCGCCGGCCAAGCCGGCGGACATCCACCAAATGACCCCGGCCCAGCTGCAGGAAGTCCGCCAGCGCTATGAGAAGTTCTTCCCCTGCCAGCCGGATGAGGCCACCCTGCTGCACGATGCCCAGCATGGCCGCGAGAAGACCGTCGGCTATGTCACCGGCGAGGCCACCCCCGGGTACATGTACCGCCCGGAGGTCCCGGCGCGCATTCGCGCCGTCTTGCCCGATGTCAAGGTGCGTCGGGCTTCGCCATGCCAGCCGCCACGCGCGCCGCCCGCCCCGCTCCTGCCCAGCCCTCGGCCTGACCGCTGCTTTTGCCTCCTACCCCCGCCTGCCCCCCCCCCCCCCCCCGGTCCCGGACCTTGTCTCGGCCCCGGGCGTGCGCCTGCCCTTGGCCATGCCCCGACGCCCGGTGCATCACATGCCGCGGGGTTCCCTGCCGCCGGGCCTCCTGCACACGGGGGGAGGGGCTCCAGCTTATCGCCCTGGTCCGCGACCCGGCCGAGCGTGCCTACTCCCACTACCACCACGCCCAGAAGAACCACATGTACCAATTGGCCCGGCGCAGCCGCAAGAACAGCCAGGAGAAGCCCCCGAAGCGGCGCTTCCGCCGGGATGAGGCCCTCGCCGTGATCGACCTGCCGGCCATGTCGGATGCCGACCGCCAAGGCTTGCCCATCGCCGAGGTCCGGGCTGCTCCGCCGGTGCGTGTGTATGCCCATCTGCTGCTGTGCTTTGCCCTTGCGACGTGCAGAGCCCCCGCGCCGCCGGTGCAGAGGGGTGGCCGGGGGTGGGCCGCCCGGCCCGGCCCGGCCCGGCCCGGCCCGGCTCGAGAGGGCCCTGCCGGGGACCTTGACTCGCGTGCTTGCTGCTGGCCGACCTGTTGCTCACACACGAAGATGGCCTTGCATGGGGGGAAAAAACCCACTGACAGAAGATTCTCACGCGCCCGGGCGATGCTTCGCGGTCGGTGCACCGGCAGGCCGCCACGCGCCAGGGCGACCGCCGCCCCTTGGCCCCGGTGTTCCCCGCCTTCGAGACCCTCCTGGCCCGCGAGCATGCGGTCATCGTCAAGTGCCAGAATTCCGTGGCCGAGGAGCTCTACGGCCAGGACATGGCCAGCACCATGGGCGGTCGCGCCTACCTCGAGGCCTATGACCGGATCTATGCCTGCCACCAGACGGCCATCCTCGCCGGTACGTGGCCGTCACAGGTGGGCATTCATCCCCGCCACCATGCGCGGTGGAGGAAGGGGCGGGGGAGGCGTGCCCTGCGCGGCATCTGCCCAGCGCAGGCCGGGCAACGGCGCCAAGGGGAGGGCATGCCTGACCCGGCTGCTCGCCACCATGTGTGGGGGAGTTCCCGCTCGGTGGCAGGAGGGGGGAGGGGAAAGTGCCAGTGGCGGCCCTCGCCCTCCCAGGCATGGGGCAGCCGCTGTTCCGACTGCTGGCTGGTGCTAACCTCACTTGCCTGTGCCCACTGCCGCGCCCGTTGCCGCGCGTGCCGACAATCACCACCTCTATCCACGCGCTCTCTCACCATGCGGGGCCTGTCCATGCGCGTGCGCTTACTCCTCCCCACAGAGGCGGCCGGTACGTGGGCCGCACGCCCAAGCACACATGCATCTTGCTGCCGGCATGGCTGCGCGATCCTCGGGTCATGATGGCCCCCGCTCGCCGCCATCCGCCGCCCCCCCCCCCCGCCCCCCTCTCCGGGTTACTGACAGACAGAGACATATGTGACACACGCGCGCGCGCGCGCACTCGCGGACTTCCAGATCTCCAAGTGTCCCCCTGGGCCCTGCAGCTGATCCTCCGGTCGATCTACATCGCGCAGATCCAGTGCGTGTGGTCCCACGGGATGGGGCCCTCCGGGGCGCTCCTTCCCGCGCGCCCCCTCGTCCCCGCCCCCTGCCTCGCTCCCTCTTTCTCTCTCTCTCGTCCCCTCGCCCTCTCGGCTTTCCGCTGACACACGTACCCATGCTTGACGGCGGGCGGGGGCAAAAAAAAAAAACCCAGCAACATGCGCAAGGAGTTCCCGGCCGAGCAGATCCTCGTCGTTCGCAGTGAAGAGCTCTTCGACAATGTCGACACCGCCCTCGACAGCATTACCGACTTCATTGGGCTCGAGCGCCGGAGCTCCTTCCCCTCGACCGGGGGCCAGCTGCCCGACGGCCCGGCCGGGGGTGACGATCACACCACGCCCGAGGACCAGGCGGATGCTCCTGCGGGTGCGGAGGACATCGCCATCTCGCGGGGACCCCGGTCGGCCATCGTCGCCCAGGCCCCGCAGACCGGCAAGTGGGACGACTGGATCTTCCGCCGGAAGCTCAACTTTGTCGAGGGCAATCGCGTGGTGGCCAGCCACTCGGAGGAGCCTACCAACCGCAAGGCCATGAATCCCGACACCCTGGCCTGGCTGGACCGCCTGTTCGAGCCTTTCGAGTCTCTGCTGGAGGACTACATCGCCGGACAGCAGCACTGAAGCGCGCGTCCGCGTGAAAAGAGGCTGCCCCGGCCTCCGGCCGCGAGAGGATGGGCACGGGCCAAGTGCAGGGCGCGCCCCCGGGCATGGCGCCGGGGGGAAGGGGGGGGAGCCGACCTGCAGGATGGGTCCCGGGCAGAGGCCGATCTTTCGCCCTGCTCTGGTCGCAATCCCGCATCAGCGGATCTATGCTTCTCCCCCGCTTTTTTTTTCCGGGCGAGAGGGGGTCCCAAGGGGAGGACAGGACGGCATGAACTTGCGGCTGCAGGCTGGCTGGCTGTGCGGGGCGATGTGCAGCCGCGCACGGCGCGCCACGCACACATGCGCACATGCGACGGTGTGCCAAGCGCCGCCAACTGTCCCATAGACCCCGGCGTCGCCGCATCCCCTTGTGCGTGTGCGCATGTGAGGCGCGCATGCCATCTTCATGGAGGAGGTCTTCTCCGCGGGAAGTACATGCCGCGGAGCCGTGCCTCCTCGGCGTGGGCCTCCTGTCGGCGCGAGGCAAAGCGGCTGGGCCAGACGCTCGCGCACCGGCAAGGTGTTTCGAAATCACCGACACGCGTGGCTGCCACACACAGCCATGCACACAAGCAGCATCGGGTGCTTTTCCGCCCGATCAAAGAAAGTCCCCCGCGTTGAGGAGAAAACTGCAAAGGGCAGAGATGAAAGGCCAACTGGAATGCTAACGAGCGCGCCAGGGGGGCTTCCACATGGGAGATACGCCCAAAAACGAGATAGAGTCCCGCGTGGATATGCCCAGCGCCCCAGGGAGGGGTGAGGTGTGCCGGCGCCCCCGGGGTGTGTGCCGCCGTCCCCTCGCCCCTCCCCTTCCCCCCGTCACTGCATGCCTCCCTGAGCCTGCTTCCCTCGCCACATGCCCTGGGGAGTGCCTGCTCGCCGGTGTCCCGGTGGCCAAGAAGATGCAACGGAACGGGTGCCAGCGGGGGAAAAGGGGGCCAGAAAGACGAGAAGAGAAACCCCCAAACAAAAGACGCGCGGCCAAGGGGGGGCAGGAAGGAAGAGGAGAGACCCACAACGGCGGAGGTGTCTACGGGGGGAGAGATGTGTGCGTGCCCTCGTGCAGCTCCCCCTCCCAGCCGGGGGCATGGGCGCTCCTGCCACAATGGCCTGCCACCAAAGTTCGTCCTCGCAACACCCCCCGTCACATTCTGTACAATATAAAAACCATCCCCTGAGGGGGAGGACGGCTTCGAAGAGAATGGCCTCATGCACGGCGCAGGAAGGGGAATGCGGATGGGGGGAGGTGGCCACACACACACACACACACACACACACACACACACACACAAGGCGGGGATGGTGGTGTGGAAAGCAGGAAAGGCCCAAGGAAGAGGGGCATAGGGTGGGGAAGGAGGAATGGGAGAAGGACCGGCCGGAATTGGCCGGCCTACGGGGGAGGAGGAGGGCAGGAGACAACGAGGCGAGGAGTATATGTGCATTTATTCAGAGGGAGAGAGGGAGGGAGAAAGGAAACAAGGACAGGGAGAAGGAGGACAAGATGGTGTGCCGCGTGGTATAGCGTCCAAGGGAGGGGGGGGAGGGGGGGAGGGGAGGAAGTTGCCTCAATACATGTGCAGGGCAACCTCACTGCGCGGGCGCTTCAGCTTATCCATGTTCTTGGTGATGACGTCGTACATGATGAGGTAGTTGTTGAGCAGGTCCAGCAGGCTCATGCGGGCGCGCATCATCTGCTTCTCATCGTGCTCGATCAGGGCCTGCATGAGGTCCGGGTTGTCGGGGTTGTTGGTGATCTGCCCAGGGACATCGGGAAAAGGAGCACCAGAGGGGGGGGGGACACCAAGGAGGAGGGGGAGCGAGAGTCAGCCAAGGAACGCAGGCAGGAGGGAGGGGAGACAATGCCACGGAAGGGCACCGGATGGCAGGGCACACAATGCGGAGGCGTCGTACCGCCGACACAAGGTTCGCCCGGGACAGATAGAAGTCCAGGATCTCCGAGCGGATGCCGAGGAAGGCATTCTCCGTTTGCGACAGCTGACCGATGATCTCCTCCTGCGACGCGGCAAGAGCATTTGTGTGCGTACGTGCGTGCGCGCGCGCGTGTGTGTGTGTGTGTGTGTGTGTGTGTGTGTGGAACATATGTCAGCAAGGAGGCGAGCACAGTCGTTGCCTGCTGTACGGAGGAGGGGGGGGGAGGAAAGCAAAGAGAGGGAGGTGGGGAAAAAGGAAGCAAGACAGGGACCATGCGCACCTGGACTTCGACACCGAAGTTGTTGCCATCCTCAATGCGCGGGACATTCAACTGGACCCAGATCTTGATGGCATCGCAGATGTCCAGCTGCTCGTTGATCTCCAGCTTGATGGACTCCAGCAGCTCGCGCACCGTGACGGCCATCGGGTGCGGGCTGACCGGGGCGCCGGTGTCCTGCTGCGGGGCGCTGTCCTCGGCACCGGCAGCCGCTGCCGGCGCGGAGGTGGTCGTCTGCGAGGCGCCATCCTCCAGCCGCGGCAGGTTCGGCAGAACCAGCCCCTGCGGGAACGGCAGATTCGGGGTCGGCCGCGGGGCATTGAAATGGCGCGCGTCCCCATTGCAAGAGGACTCCACATTCCGGACAATGGCCAGCAGGTCGAGCTGATCCCCGGCGGCCAGCTGCCCGACGGCCGTGGCCGACGCCCGGCCGAGAGCCGACGCCATGGCCGTCGAGGACACTTGCGACACGAAGCTCAGCCGGGCGGTCTTGCGTGAAACCCCCAGCATGGTGGCCCGGGCATTGGCATGGGCCTTCATCATGGACCGGGCGTGCGAGTCGGCCGCCTCCTGGGCCGCGCTGATGTCGCACGGGTCGGTGGCGGCAGAGGCCGCGGCCGCCGCCGCCGCCGGGACCAGCCCGCCCAGCAGGTCATTGTACCGCTGGATCAGGGCCTCCAGCTGGAGGATCTTCCGCGGCACGCGGTCATACACGGCGCGCCACGCGTCGTCGCGCTTGCGCTGCTTGATCTGCTCGATGCGCGCGATCACCGCGTCCGGAGTGGATGCCGGCACCGCGGGGTTGGACTCGGCCCCGGAGCCCCGACGCGCCTTCTTCGGCAGATGCGTCGCCGAGGAGGAGGCGCTCGCCTCGGAGGTACGCTTCGAGGAGTGGTGATGAGCCATGGTGGTTGTGCGTGGCGGATCGGCGGAGGGGGACGGGGGGGGGGG